ACGAGTCGCGGAGAATGTGCGGACTGGGCTGGCTGGACACAGCACATATTTCAGACATCAAACAATTTTCACAATATGCTGGCCGACGACAACTACATGTTTTTACAACTTCGACACCTAACCCAACACATTCACACACGGGTGAGGCGGGGTGGGGTGGGGCGAGGCGGGGCTCGCTGCCTTTGCGAATTGATTGATGGATACTAGGGGGCGGCGCGACGGATGGGATGGAAGCGTACAAGGTGATGATGGTGACAAGTTGATGGTGGTGATGTAGTGATCATGATGATAATGATGATGATCGTGATGATGATCATGGATCATGATGGTCATGACGCCGGTACAAGTATACAGGGGTGCAAACGCCATGTGTTAAAAATCCTAAATTATTCCTCCCCCGTGCCCCGTGCCCGTGGGGCGTTGACAGACGCTGAGGTCTTACTCAAGGGGGGAGCAAAAAAAAGTTTAGTCTTTCCTGTTTTGGGTCATGAATGTGTTTCAGACATCCAAGACGCAGACGTCATCATGGATTCCTCAATCAGAACAAGATTCATCATTACCGCTTTCATCCCCGACTATAAGAACTTCGACGACTCGATTGGGAAATACGACGTTGTGTTGTTGTGCGTCCCCAGCGCTGATGATTTGGTCATTGTGATGCGATGGATGCGATGGTTGCGGTAACGAGGACGCGCGTGGAGCGTGGGACAAAATCTGGCACGCGGGGAATTAGCGGTCATTACAGCTCGCAGGCGTATACGCGAAGCACAATACAACACAACCATAACACGACGGCGCAACAATAAAAACGAAATTGAATAGTAATCAGAGTGCTGAAGGCTTACGCGGGTTCCGTACCCATTAGTGCACGTCACCGGGGCCTCCCTCTCGCCCAGCATGAAGCGGAGCAGCACAGAGCGTTGCTCATTATACGGCGGGCACAGCTCGGCATTGATGACAGCGATAAAAATGAAGGTAAAGCCACACGCACGGGCCGTGTCCGCGGGGACCCCGAACCAACATTCACTCACTCCTTTGGGGACCATGTCCATCGCCCGTTACACCGAGTGACGCGTAGGGAAGGGCCCGAGGGGGGGGGGGTATGCCTGCTGGCAGCGCTCTCGTTCACACTACGCACGCACGGACACACACACAGACACACACACACACACACACACACACACTCCCCTTCACTGCTGGCAGTCCGAACACGGCGAACACACCATAACGCCGTAGCAACAACGCGTCGGTGTCATTTTGTCCCCTCTTCTCTCCTTCCCCACACTTTTTTTTATTTTTATTTTTTTA